AATTAAAGATAAAACAAAAATCACACGAAGAAGAAACAATTTCCTGTTTGGGCGCTCACACCGGAAGTAAACAAACCAGACAAGCTCAAAAGGAGGGAAGTAGGAGGACTGAACAACTGCTTTTCTGTAAGCAATTTTGACGAAAACTGGATTTTTCTAGCACCTATAACATAAATGTTGAAACCTTAATGTTTATAAATTGACGTTCAGGTTGTTGTTGTCAGAGAAAAGTCTGACAAAAAGTTTCAACTTATCAGCGGCACCGACCGAGTCTGTACAAAACATTTTTGCTAACCATGGACAGAAATTAAAATATTTAACTTTTTATAATCCGTAATGTTAACAGCTTTTGTGTCATTTGTTAGATTCGGATAATCCTTTAAAAATAATTATAATATACTAGCAGGGTGTTGCATTTTATGTTAAAATGCAATTTGAGACCAGTTTTTTTGTGTGTGTTATGGCTGCAGTGTAGCGCCAGTGACCATGATGACAACGAAGAGACTGGACAACTTTCAGCTGGAGTGTGAGTGGGATTCATGCGACTTTAATGGATACAGCATGGAGGAACTGAGCGACCACATGTCTCTTCATCTGAAGGACTACATCGGAGACAAAGATGCTCTAGAGGAGCTGGGTAAGTGAGAGACTTTCATGTTTATGTCCACCTACTCATCATTTCAGTACTGTCTGTCCGTCCAAAAGGTCACTCAAAAAAATTGGGAATGGTTTGAAGTTAATAAAGCCAATTAATTAACAAATGTTGGTGGTAGTCTGAATCACCAGCTGGATCCAGAAACCTTTTTAAAGATTTCTTAACATCTGTTTGTCTGGATACCATGCTAACTGTTATAATAAGCATTGTGTGAATGCTTCWTAAGCATTCACACAATGTTGGCTGTTGAATCGCTTCTAGTGTGGTCCCTTACAGGGGTGATTTTTTTTTATTTCTRTTTTTTGTGATTGTGTGTGTAAAGAATAACCAGTGAAACTATTTGTCTGAATTTGAACTTTTAAATGTACATTCTAGTTTTCAAATTTGAACACGTGTCCTAAACAAAAKTCAAACATGCAAGGTTTTGTTCACAGTAGTTTTGTAATTTAATATTTTGCTTATAAAGGGGTSAGTCCACGCCAAATCACACAGTGACTTTGACCTGACCATCTCAGGTTTTGATGAAACCTGTCACATTTGTCAAATGCGATCCCACAGTGCAGTATCTCAAATTTAAGTCAGTTGGTGAAAAAAATAAAGAAACATGAATTCTCGATTTTTGGCAAAAATTGACGTGTTTGCCTGTTTTCAGCTTTCAAGATTTAGAGGGTTAATTTTAACACACTCATTGTCGTTAGAAAGAAAATTTGATACAGACTCCAAATTTGTCTTTACTTTTCGGAATTAAGCACATTAGGACTCATTTTTTAAATTTTATTTTAAAGAGGGGGCAAATGTGATGTTTTGACAAAACGAACAAATGAAGTTTTGGTTAGTTTCTCATCTGCTAAAACTCCATCAATAGCATGGTATTTACATTTATAGCTCTGCATTATTATTAACTTTTTTTTTCAGATGAGTTTGCGTGTCTCTGGAACGGATGCGAGTTTGTTTCCATGGGCAGTCCTGCAGAACTTGAGGTCCATGCATTTTTCCACAACTACCACGGCAAACTCAAGTTCATCGGCTCACAGCTGCTCAAGTCCCGCCCCGACCTGCCGAGCTGCAGCCAAGGCATGCACAGCAGCAACCTGCTGCCCGAGGGCTCCCATGAGTTTGTGTGCCAGTGGGAGCACTGCGATGTAGGCATTTTTAGTCAAAAATATTCAGAACAACTAGAGATAGATAGCTCTGACATCTGAACATTATGCTTCGATTGTCTCCAGAGCACGTTTAACAACCCCGAGTGGTTCTACCGGCACGTGGACAATCATGTGGAAAGTGCTGAGCAGCAGTCCGTTTCTCAACAGCAGGCGCTCTACTGCAGCTGGGCAGGTAGGACTCAGTCTAACCGGGTGGGAAACCGATGTTGTCGTGTCTTGCTCAGAGCGTGTCTCGGTTCCGACGCAGGCTGCGACGCCTTCTTCAAGATCAGGTATCGGCTCAGGGAACACATGCGGAGCCACACGCAGGAGAGACTGGTGGCCTGTCCCATGTGTGGCAGCATGTTCTCCAGCAACACGAAGCTGTTCGACCACCTCCTCAGGCAGGCCGAGCCTATAGGTGAGGCGGACTCTGGATCCTTTCTTCAGATGTGTGAGTGGGTTATAACCGTGCTCATTCTCCTCCAAACAGAGTCTCTGGTGTGTGAACATTGTGGCAAGGCCTTTTCCAGCGAGAGACTTTTGAGGGATCACGTTCGTCAGCACGGTAACAGGAACATAATCCAAAGTTGTCCCTCAAAATGTTGTCTAATCCCTGTGTTCRTTACTTTCAGTTCATGTGTTCTTCAAGGTGTTTATTAAGAAAGTTTCAACATTTTCTATAGGCTGCTAGCAGAGAAAAATGCTAAATTAAAAAAATGATTACAAAGCTTAAAAAGGCGAACGGTTCTTTTAAAAGACAAACCTGTTAGAAAACTTTTGTTTGATTAGGAAGATTACATGATATTGTGTCAAATTTGGTCAAGATGCCCTAAGTAYATTTTCATTCTAGCTTTGTTAAGCTATGTTTTGATACATGGGTCATCCTGAAATCCCATTGATACTTGGTCTGAATCCTATTTTTAGGTTATTATTTTAATGAGGAAACCTCAAAACATTATTTGTTTATTAAAATTTACCAGCTGGAAATAAAAAAGCTTTGCTCGATAGCAGGGAAAATATGAATTTAAGACGTTTTTTTTGTTGTTGCTCAAAACCATGTTTTTTGTAGCTACTGCTCAGGAAAGGGCTTCAAAAAATTGCGACCTGTAGAAAACGTTTCAATCAATTATAGCTGTACACTATATATA